GCAAACAGTGAGCTGTGTGACATATTTTTATAGGAAAAACAGAAGATAGAAAATTGTCCCTAATGAGGGGCAGCCGTAGTTTCATACAACATGGTACAAAAATGAGTTTTCACTTCATAATCTTGATCAAGATGAGAATATTTCTCAATACTCAGTGAAGAGATTGTATGTTCTAATATTCTTCAACCCTCTCTCTCATGAAGAGGTTGATGGTCAAACTAATTTCTATTCAAGTCCTAAATATTCATTAAGCTGCATAAAGTCAACCTAAGTTAAGCAGTGATTTTCTTTTGCTCTCTATCTTTTTGAATTTTGCATGTTGACAGAAATAATTTTATAAAAGCCTTTAACAAAGTTGGAAGTATTACAGATAATGAATCAAGGGTGATAAGAATATGAAACATGATATTGGTTGGCTGCATTAGATACTTGGCTTCTTAATCTTTCAGGTATGACAGATACACAAAACAGCAATAAAATGGGATGAAACAGATGGTAACACTATGTAACACATTTGTGTATAACCTTTTGCTTCTGACCTGCAGGAGAATCCCAATCCCCACATAGCATTCCAGAAAGTGCCACGGCCCACGGAGGGCTCCCACTTGCGGGTTCACATCCTCCCTTTCCCCCGAATCAATGAGTGCCGGGTGCAGGAGCTTCTCCAGGAAGGCCTTGCAAGGAGTCAGGGTGCCCCCCCTGCCACTCGGGGGGACAAGAAGTGCGTCGTTCCAGCAGGTCCCCCTGTTGGTATGTTTACTTGTTCCCCAACTTACCTACTTGTCATCCTGTCTCGTGAGTTGAATATGTAATTAGCATGGCTGCAATGTGTTGCTCCCAATTTCATGTTTATACAGTATTTTTAATGATCATAGTAAACTTTAATACATAGACTTGCCCGTTTGCCTTTGCAATTTTAAAAGCCCTTTTGCATCAGCCTTTACTAAGAAGTCAAACATCCAGAGTGCGAGTGGCATAATTACTAACAACAAAAAAGGATTTGATCTGAGTTAGATTGAACTATTAAATTAGATATTGTCTACTCATCTAGGTCTGATGAATATCACCGTAGGTTACTTGTAGGACTGGCTGAACCAAGCTTTGAACTGTTAGGGTTTCTCCTTTGACACTAGTGGAAGACATGTAAATTACTGGAAAAGGGCAAGGAACAAACATAGCATCTGTTTCAAAGTAAATATACTGATATTTAAATATGAAGAACAGATGTAGACATTGTAGGCCTGTCAATTTCATTTTAATGCCAGGAAAATTCTATTAGTCATAGTCATATTCATCAATGTGAATGATGGCGTAAACAAGTATGTTTAGTAAACTTGCAGGACACACGAAGCTGGCAGAGCTTGCAAAACCTTTTAAGGATGGGATTAGAATTCAAATCAATCTTGAAAAATTAGAGATCTAGTCTCTGTTGAATTTTGTCCTTTTCTACTGTTTTTCTTCAAATAAGGTATTGCACTTGCATAGGCATGATCAGCTGACTAGGCAACAGTTCTTCAGAAATTAATTTAGGGATTATAACGATCATAGGGCAAACATGACCCAACTATATCAAGCTATTGCAAAAAAGACAAACATCTTAGTAGGATGTATAAACAGGAGTACAGTCAGTGAACCACCATGGAGAAATCCTTTTGTTGTACTCAGTAAGACCTCAGTTGGACTGTTTGTATCCATTTTTGGACACTGGAAGACTGCCTCTGTTTTTGGTTCTGTTGGAGGGAGTCCAGAAGAAAGCAACAAGAATGACTAGTGGTCTGGAGAGTATGACCTACAAGGAAAGATGGAGAGTTGTTTAGACTGAAAAATAGAAGACCGAGGGAACACATAATAGCAGTCTTCAGTTATGGCTGTTAAAAAAAAAGGGAATAATTTGTAGAGATAAGACATAATGGATTTAATTGCAGCACAAAAGTAGAGTTATTTGTCAGGAAAAACTTGGTAAAATGAGGATTGTGAGGCAGTTGAATGGATTTCTTGTGAAGCCGCGGAGTCTCTGTTATCACAGAACTTTGGGAATATATTAGACAAATGTGAGAAATAACATAAATACAGTTGATCCTGTCTAGGGACAGCAGGATGAACTAGATGGCCTCTTGAGGCCCCTTCCAGGCCTCTTTCTGTTTGGGTTTATGTAAGAAGATAAACTCTATTCACCTGCCTTTGCTGTTAACTATATCATGGAATCTGTTTAAAGAGTATGTGCTTGTGTTCTGTTGTCTTTCTTCAAAAGGCTAGATGCAAGAGAAGGTTTTCTTTCTTAATAAGTTAATTTTTATGTCAAAGTTTTATATTTTTTTCTCAAGGAACAGCTTTCACACTCATACTCCCTGCTGTCCTGTGTGTCAAAATCCTTGGATATTAGGAGTTCATTATTATCTACAAGAAGGGCATATTCTGCATTTATATTCTATTTACTTGATGATAAAGAGAAAGAATGAATGTTAGTTCTTCCATTCTGAATTTTCTTCAAAATTCAGAGCGAAACATCACATTAAGAAAATAATCTTTAGATCTCAGCAAATTGGAATCAAGATAAGAGAACAGGTTCATCAGGTTTATTCCATGTCACAGAATTCTTGGCACGGACAATGAATTCTTTAGGGAAAAATAGTTATCTACTGCTACAAAATATGCAAGGCTACATAGTTCACTGAAGAACACACACACTTTTTTTATATTAATTTCTATTTATTTATATATTTCATTAATATGTTAGAAGTTGGAATCTCTTTGTACCTGTATGAGACACATAGAACAAGTAGTAAAGAGAATCAACTGCTCTAGTTAAAATTCATAGCACGCTCTTCTTCAAATAGCATAGGAAAACCAAAGATTTAGGATCTTATGTTCCCATCTGTATATGCCTACTAATGGTATTTGTGTAATTGTGTAACAAAACAAAATGGAGTGCACATTAAATTTTTAACTTTTTTAAAAAGAACTTTCTGGTATTCTTTGTGGCTCTTGCAGAAGACGTTTCACAGATGTATATTCTTCTTTTTCTTCGTTAGTTTCCATAATGGAAAAAGGAAACACAGTTTTCAACAGTGCACAAAGGCTGGAAGTTGTTAGAAACTGCATCTCGTTCATTTTTGAAAACAAATTTTTGGAGACTGAAAAGGTAATGAAATGAAATGTTAACTTTCCCAAATAAGCCTCTGTTCTGTTAATGAGCAAATGGAGACTGACTTTGTCACAAAGTACATTTTGAAGTCTTGTTTGAAATACTAATGATTATTTTAACCATTTAAATGAATGAAGTAAAAAATAAAACTAATCATCTAAATTCAATACTGTGTGTAATATGAAGCTAATGGATTTGAAAACCTGTTTGTAATACTACGTGGGTGTGTTGATGCCCTTTGTGCTAGGTATGTATTGGTCGAGCAGTATTGATTAGGAGGAATGTAAACAAAAGGCATACATAGCCATTTCAGTGTTTATCAACCAACGCTCTTCTGAAATTTTCAGTACTGTAAATTTTGCTGGTTTTAAAAATCAATAATTTGATAGAACTCAGAGATGAATATAAATATTTGGCATGTCTGTCTTCACTAAAATATACTAGTGAGTTGTCATCCTTGACGTTCTTATTTTTTCACATTAAGAAGTTGCCAGGTTTTGTAGATTCTGTCCATGGAGTTTTCAATTATTGATTCTAGAACAATAACTCAAACTTACTCTCAAATCTAATTCTACATATGAAAATGACTGTAAAATTATTTTAAGAAATTCTTTGATTTCTCAGAAAAGTATCACCTGTATATCTCTGAGGCTGTGCAGCTCAAGATAGAACATGAGCGTTTCTTGATTTACAAGTTATGTTATGGAAATGCATATGGGAGAAGTCCTAATAAAATGAGTAACTCTTTTTAAAGAGTTTTGAGGCATGTGTAACACAGTAGTTTTTAACCTCTTTCAACTTACTTGGAATATTTCAGTAGTTTTTTGTCCCCCTGCATGGTAAATTTCTCCTTAGACAATAGGCTGCCTTTTCTTATTTATCTGTTACCACCCATTAAATCTAGTCCAAGGGGCCACAGTTGATAATTACTGATGTAGCACTAGCTGCATCTTTAAAACATTGGCATAAATAATATTCTGGCACTGTTTTAGTGTAAACTGCCTAACAGTCCTGTGGCCTCATTGCTATGAGAGGTATGCCACTTCTAAAGCCGTTTGTCATTCACTGCTTATCAAAAAACATGCTGGTTGGCCTTGATAGGCTAACTTGAGACCTGGCCTGGCTGGTACAGAATAGAAGAGCACTTGCTTTCATGCACAATAATCCATTTCTGATTTCACATCCATTCAATGCCTGTCTGTATTCAATCATTTCTACCTACAGATGTAGGTGAGAAATGCTGTTTAATGCATTTGAAAAAAACATGGGAAAAATGTAATACTTAATGACTCAAGCTAAAACAATCATGTGAAAGTTTGATATTCAAGCTCATGAGTCATTTCCAAAGTTATTCTTTACTGTACTATCACTTGCAGTTTCTTAATAAAGAATGAGTGATATTCAGTATGAATAGTACCTTTAAATTTCATTTTCATCAAGTTAGATTTTTCTTGTCTCCAGACCCTGCCTGCAGCTCTAAGAGCCCTCAAAGGAAAGGCAGCTCGGCACTGCCTGACACAGGAGTTAGGCCTGCATGTTAAACAAAATCGAGCAATACTGGACCATCAGCAGTTTGACTACATTGTGCGAATGATGAACTGTGCTTTGCAGGTACAGGTTTTGTTCTTTGGTTGTCTTTGTTTTGTCATTATGATAAGCAAAAAATTGTTGAGAGTGATGCGGAGAAGCAAAATAAATTATAGGACCACGTGCTGCAATGATGTAGCAGATAGTACTTGACAGTGGAGTTAAGATATTTTATTGTTGAAAAGGTAAAGGACAAAACGCTCAGGTCTATACAGATGTGCCTGATATGAAAAACAGAAAGAAAACTGTTCCTATTATTAATATTTATATATAATTTAGTTTTGGTAAGTATTGAAGTATTTATCTTAATGGCTTTCAGTACTTTTTTAATGAATGGGTGTTAGCTTTTCCAGGTCATTTTCAACTCTGAGCTCCTAAAATGTGTATTACCCACTGCTCAGTTAAAATAACGTAAGTTTGTCCTCTTTGTCATCACAAGTGCGAAGATACTTGAAGAAGAAAGCATACTTTCTGCTTCCATGGTTCATGGGGGTAGTTTTACTTGTCATGGTGACATCTTCCTTAGTCAGAGACTTACTGAAGGTGTTTGCAGTTCATCTACTAAGTTATTCCACTGTTAAATAATTTTGTGCTGAATAAACATCAACATACAGTGGCAGCTACCTATGAGAGTAAAATATGTGGATGATGTCTTTTGACTTTCATTTGAATAATTGCTCTGTTTTAGCTTTACTTGTTGGCAATTCATTGTCAGAAGTATTTTATAGACATCAGTGTTTTCAGTCTGATATCTGAGAATGTAGTAGTATTTTTTTTTAATTGGTAATGCAATCACGTTTGGTTATAATTTGCCTCTTGTTGCCCCTGTCTGAGTTGTTTTATCAAATTAGGGATTTGACTGAGATATTGGTATTTTAACCCCACTCTACTCTAACCTAAAAACCGTTGAGATTATTTTGCAGCAGTTTGTTGACCCATATTTTTAAAAAAAGTGAGTGCTAAATACAGCTTTCACTTAAGTATAGAAATAAATTAACATTGAGTAAATGCTACTTCAGGTCACCATCAAATGTAAGTTTTGTTGTCTGTTGTATTTCTTGTTTGTTCACAGTAGATATTTTTCTACTGTTTGGAACAAAATTCAGCTTTGCCTGAGCAGTTGTTTTTGGAGTAAAATTACCTGCAGTTAGCAGATGAAAACTGAAGTTGACTGGCTAAAATTGCACAGCAGGTACCAGAGTGTGCTTTTCTGGCACAGGCATTGGCCTTTTCCAAGCTTTACGTTGAGCCTCAGAGTTGGAAGAAAAATTGAAGTTATCTGTGAAACTGTATTTCTCTGCCCAAAATCATGACCAATGGAATACTGCACCTGCTGGGTATTCCAGAGTTAGAAATTTTCTTTCAAACAAGAAAACAGAATTGTCTAGATGTGCCACAGATTTAGCTTCTACTTTTTTGATTGTTCCTGGGATAAAAAAATCAAGATGTTTTTAGACAATAGGAATGAAATAGAAATCCCCTTGATTTGCCGTATCTTAGTACAAAACAGATGGCAGAAGAAAATGGGGTGTTGAGGAAATTTCCTTTGCTGAGGAAAGAATTACTGACATCACCTTTTAATAAAGCAATAAAATCCAATTTTTCTCTAGGAGAAAAATGTCATTTTTCTTCCCAGTGATTTCAAGACCTAAGAAGCACCTTAATGTTCATAGAAATGAATGTGTCCAAAGTCTAACCAAAGTTAAAATAGAATGTTTTTTTTCTCAATAAAGCTAGCAAATGAAACTCAAATCATGCAGAGGAAACAGATAGATCAAGGAAGGAGGCACAGTTTTTATGCTTTTTTTCCCCCAACAGTGTTTTCCTATCTTTGAAAATATAAAATGGAAATTTCCATTTCTCAGGAGTAAGCTTGGCCAATATGAAAACATCTGAACTCGGGGCACTGGGCAGCTAGTTGGAAGCAAGTATTTAGTACATCTACTTTTATGACATATGAAATAATTCATTAAGATAAAAGCATGATTTATAATTTGTCTGTGCACTTTGTTCAACTGTATTATTTGGAACAATGTGTAAATTGTGACATTTTGGCGCTTCCCTGTATCGGTTCAAGAAAAAAATACATTATCAAGAACTTACTTAAGTTAGCCCTTGCTGCAGTGGGACTCAGCAAGTCAGCATTTTGCTGTAGAGTCATGAATTCTGTTAGCTGTGTAGGTCATAAGACCAAGTAATTTAAACAGTGTCTGTTAAAAAGATACAAAAATCTAATTTAAGAAATGTGGTCTTAACTGTAGATGTATTCAAGCTTTAGGGAAATACCACATTAATTATGATGGAATTTTGGGGGGAGAGTTAGATTGCAGTATTGCTTTAAGACCTCACCGAACTATTGGAATTGTAGAAACTATCTCAGTCGTACCACCAAAGGTCTTGTCACAGATTTTCTGTTAATGTTATTGCATGTTCCCACTGGCTTCTGTAAGATAGAAACTAAAATATTGCTGTGGCCAGGAGACATATAGCTGAGAAGCTGAGAAGAAGGGAAGGCCCCTGGCACAGTCGATAGGTTGGGCAGAGCCCTGGCTCTCTACTGTTCAAGCTGGGTTGAACTGGGATGTGTGTGCTGCAAGCCCCAGCCTGATGGTGTTCCCTGGGAAATCCCAGTCTCCGCTGGCTCACTTGCTCATGCAGATAGGAAATCTGATGCTCCCCAGCCACCAAACCTCTGCTACTGGTAATGTGAATTGTTGCAAACCATGTGTATTTCAAGAGGTACAGGTTGGCTGTTTCTGAAAGTGTCTTTTGAACAAGAAACTCTCTTATTGGCATGTACTGAATTCTTTGTCTTACTGGGAACAGTGCCACATATTACAAAACCAGGAAGATTGTATTCTGCAGGTCCCTCCGTTACTATTCGAGATTTTCCTGGTTGTTTAGTGTCAGGTTTTTTTTTAATAGAACGTATTCTCTTGTTTTACTGGAGTCCGTAAAAATAAAGGTCAGATGCTTTTTCAGATCTTCTGTATACTCGCTTTGTAGATGAAAAGCAGTAAGTTAACAAAATGCTAGTAATAATCCCACCATGTATATTGTTGCTGGTCTCATTATACCTGGTGTGACATGTCTGCTACCACCCTGCTTGAGAATAGATTAAGGAAGAGGAATAAAATAATCATACCATTGCTTCAAGTTAATAGCTGTTTTATTTTAGTGGAAAATTACTTAGGCTGTATTTCCCCCAGTATCCGATCTCTAGCCATTTTGCAACTGGGAGGAAGGGAGGGTGGTATTTTACTGACTTCTCTAGAGGTGGCAAAACTTGGGCTTGCCAGATCTCTGGTGTTTGTCAGCTTCAATGTCTCAGTCCAAGAGTGGCATTCTTTAGACTGTTTACAGTCTGAAGGTACTGGGCAGGACCTCACTGCAAATTTTTAATAGGCCTATGATCTATGGAATAGTACAATAGAATTTCATATTAATCTGCCCTGTTCAGCAGGTAAGCAGCTGCATGTGAAGCCTAGTGGTAGACTTTAAGTGGCTTTACAGATACAGTTAAGGTAAGGCATGATGCAGTAAGTCAACACTGAAGTGTTTAAAACATGCTTTACTGTGTCTTTTTTGTCTGGGAAGTATTGACAATCTACTGCTGCTGAAATGAAAATGAAAGAAATATTTCTGATCATTCTTAGTAGGAAGATCAAAATGACATGGAGATTGTATTGCTCATTGATTAAAGCAGATGTCTTCCGATGAGGGCAATTAAATTCCCAGTTATTTGCTTTTATGTCTTCTAGGAGTTGTCATTGGCCACTTGCTAAAAACTTTATTGTCATGCCCTAAGTAAGAATTTTTCCCCTGACAAATCATATACTCTGACAAGCATTTAAATCAGCATGTATTACAGCAGTGATTAATATCTGTGATAGCAAAGCAGAAGCATTACATTCTGTTCCATATGTTATACAACTAAATTACTATTAAAAACCATCTGCAGTGTTGTGAAAGCTTAAATATATTGATTGACAATTTAGTCATACAGATAGCACTGTAATGAGAAGAATGTGAAATTATTTCTCTAGAAACTATTGCCGTGGTGTTTGCTATCTGCTGCTGTGGTTACCTCAGAATAATTTGCAATTACACATAAATTCCTATTTTAAAAGCTTTTTTTTCTCTTTAATTTTCTGTAATGAAATGCTTTTCTCTGACATTTCAGAAAAGACTACTTAACTTTTTTGCAACTAAGAAGTCTCAGTTTTACCAGAGAAACACTTCTTCCATGTATTTATGTTTCCAGCAACACATTGTATTTTTAATTTGTTAAGAAGACAATCTACTGCTGCTGAAATGAAAATGAAAGAAATATTTCTGATCATTCTTAGTAGGAAGATCAAAATGACATGGAGATTGTATTGCTCATTGATTAAAGCAGATGTCTTCCGATGAGGGCAATTAAATTCCCAGTTATTTGCTTTTATGTCTTCTAGGAGTTGTCATTGGCCACTTGCTAAAAACTTTATTGTCATGCCCTAAGTAAGAATTTTTCCCCTGACAAATCATATACTCTGACAAGCATTTAAATCAGCATGTATTACAGCAGTGATTAATATCTGTGATAGCAAAGCAGAAGCATTACATTCTGTTCCATATGTTATACAACTAAATTACTATTAAAAACCATCTGCAGTGTTGTGAAAGCTTAAATATATTGATTGACAATTTAGTCATACAGATAGCACTGTAATGAGAAGAATGTGAAATTATTTCTCTAGAAACTATTGCCGTGGTGTTTGCTATCTGCTGCTGTGGTTACCTCAGAATAATTTGCAATTACACATAAATTCCTATTTTAAAAGCTTTTTTTTCTCTTTAATTTTCTGTAATGAAATGCTTTTCTCTGACATTTCAGAAAAGACTACTTAACTTTTTTGCAACTAAGAAGTCTCAGTTTTACCAGAGAAACACTTCTTCCATGTATTTATGTTTCCAGCAACACATTGTATTTTTAATACTTGTTAAGAAATAATGGCAAAAACCATCTCAAGGCTCAATTTGCA